TTGGGGACTAGTTGAAAAAGCCATCTGGATAATTGAAACCCACAGGAGTTGGAGAGAGGCAGTGTAAAAGCTGAAATAGAAAGACTATTGTTCTTAAAATTGAGGTTATAGAATTATCTATGGGCCAAGATCCGGTAAGGAAAAGTCGGTGAAGAGATAAAATTTAAGGTTTTCAGGAAACAGGGGAAAAGTTGGAGAATTGTTTTTTTATCATTTGTCAAAAAAAAGGAAGGGAAAGTGTGAATTACTGAAGAAATGAGATTTCTCTTGATAAGATCCACAGTACCACAAGAATGGATGTGAAGGGCCTAAGTGGAATCTCAAGGGAGGCAAAGGAATTGCCTACACCCCTTTGGCAGTATTAGCATGAGGCATAAATACAAGATGGAAGGCGTTAGAGTGGATTGGTATTCTGCTACGATTACTACTCGGAGGGGGCACCTCTCCAATTTTAGGCATGCAATTAATTTCCCAGAGTCAAACAAAGAACTTTCTGTGGAGATCAGGGGAATGGCTGAAATCCCAACCCTCATCAGACCCCATGCTAGTTTTGGACAGAGGTGCATATAAACAGAGAATTGAAACAATTGAAAGAGAGAAGAAACCATATGAGGGACGACTGCTTCACCAAATTCATGTGATTTCGTGCCGTTGAAGAAGACCTCCAACCTTCAGCTGTGTAACAATAAACCTTGTCTAAAATGTTACAAAATATTTGAAGAGGGAAGGGTTGAATAACTTCGCATGATAAATATAATCCTGCATGAAAAACATATATTCCAACCTGAAGAATTGATATTGTACTACCAGCTGTGTGTGACAGGGGTGATATCACTCCTGAAATAATAATAATAATGATAATAAAGGAGGATATGCTGTAAAACAGAAAACACCAAGTGAAAGAGAGGCATTTTCGAGTAACCAAGACGTTAATATGCTGTAAAGACTTTGAAATGTAAATGTTACCGAAAGTTAATCTAAAACACAAAATACAATCTTTTTGTAAGTGTACAAAGGATATCAGATTACTAATAGAAAATTACTGGAACAATAATAATTTGGAACTTTAAAAAAAAAATAAATGGATTTTGACCCTATAAGAATCAAAGTTAAAATTAAGGATGTTTTGATCTAGAATTTTATTTTAAAACAAGAATCTCTGTAGCTTACAAAGAACGGCAGAATAATTAATAGTGAGGTGATAAACAACATCTTGTTGTGAACCTTGGAAACCAATCGATGAAAAAGTAAATTCTTTATTCTCGGAGGAGTGAAGTTGTACTTTGGTAGTATGTTCGTATGTTTGCACTAGAAAAGAGGCAAGTCAACCTTTGTCTGTCTTCGAATGCAGTTGAACTGAATGGAGAGATGTCAGAGGTTGAAAAAGAAGTGTCCGCTGTATGTTGATGAAGCTGAGGGTGAAGAAGTGAAATACTGCCGCTAATATCTAAGTACCGCTACACCTGCTACTACTACTACTATTATTGAGAATGGGAACATCAAAGGTTGTTGTAGTTGCACTAAGAACAGACCAAAAAGGGTTAAAACAAAGGTGACATCCCTCCTTTACTGAAATTATTCGAAGTATTTGTGTTTGGTTATTGTTCACATACAAGAAACATTCAACCTTGTGCAACAAGTATATTTTTTGTTTGTGTTTGCTTTTATATATAAAAAAAACTTTATTGTGCATTCAAAATCGAATTGACTTGGTTATATTCATTTTTCTGTTAACTAGATTCTCACCCAATAAACTTGTAGGTGGACCATTGGATAGCTTCTGGATTTCTAAGTTCTGATGACCACTCCCTAGGATAAAAAAAAAAAATCACAACATAGCTGGAGAGTGGCTTCGAATTGACATTGGGAGCTGGAGACTTATGTCTAACCTGTAATACTGGACCATACCAGGCCAATTGCCGGTCTTGTGGAGTGTGTGGGTCCAGTAGGGTGAGGATATGGTGTTACAAATGGTTGCCATGACAAGGATTTGACCCAAGAGGTACCCGGAGGACATTAAAGGAAAGGAGTTACAATTTATTCTGCGACCAAAGATTATACCCAAGAAATACCTAGAAGATATTGGAATTGAAAGATTATACTGATCTGAAGAGCCCATAGTTATAGGAACAACAAAACAGTAACAGAAGCACACTCCAAGTAGGTTACTTTTTGGCTTCCCTCGAATATTGTTTTTTTTGTTCTCTCAATTGTGGTACATGAAAACAGCCAGTAAGGATTTAGTGTCACCCTCATCCTTCAAATTTACCTATTAATGAATAATAGCCAGATGAAAATAGAGGGCATCACATGGCTACCATTAAAATTGGCAAGGACCACAGGTGAACTGTGATTGGCTTAGGCTGAAAAAGGCCCAAATCCGTTTTGACCCGGTTACATTGATCTTAGAAGGGGTGGAAATCCTATTGAGGAATGAAGTGGAAAGGAAATACCTCGTAGTGGCCAATTTCACGTGAAGGAAGGATAAAGACAGTGGAGAAACTAACGGAAGGGTTATATCAAATAACACCTACAGAGAGGTATGATAATGGTGAAGAGAAGGTGACCTTGTGTAATTCTGTGGTAGTAGGAATAAAAACAGTGCCCCTATTGTTGACTAACACAGCCAGTAAAACTATCACAATAAAATAGGGAGAAGAGTTAGGTTATGCCTGTCCAATAAAAATTATGAAGCAAGTGAGAGTAAGCAAGAACTGAGGAAGAAGAGAAGTAGCCCTGAAATAAATAAAGAAGTCTTGATAGTGCCTGAAAGATATAAAGATGAGATAAGGAAACTGCTAGAAGCTAATCGAGACTGGGACAGTATGTATAAAAATAGACACTGGTAACCACCTACCCATTAGACTGAGGCCTTATGGGACCCCAATCCATAAGAGAAAATTAGAGGAAGAATCATTAAATGAGATGTAATAGCTTTAGGTCCCCATGGAGTTTTCTAATAGTTGTCATGGAAAGGAAGGATGGAGAACATAGATTTTGCGTGGATTTTAGACAGTTAAATGCCATTACAAAACTGTTAGCGGTACCTTTGACCTGGATCAGTGATCTAGCACTTTTCGGAAGGTCAGCCTGTTTTACTACTTTGGATCTCAGATCAGGTTATTAGCAGGTAGCTTTGGATGAAAAGGACCAGAAGACAGCCTTTACTTGTCATATAGGTCTATTTAATTTTTGCATGATGCAGTTTGGGTTATCTAATGCTCCAGGTGTATTTACTCAGTTAATTTCCATAGTGTTAGGAGGTATGGAAGATTTTGCCATGGTTTACCTGGATGATATGGGGTTTTCTAAGACACCTGAGGAGCATTTTAGACACTTACAGAAGGTGTTTAATAGGCTGAGAGACCACAGGTTAAACTTAAAATTGCCAAAGTGCCAGTTTGTGAAGGATGAGACTAAGTACTTGGGTTTCATTATAAACAAAACTGAAATAAAACCTGATTTAGATAAGGTAGAAGTGATAAGGGCTATGCCGGAGCCGAAGACAGTGAGAGAGGTTCGTGGCTTTATAGGAGCCATTGGATATTACAGGTGCTTTGTGCCTGCATTTAGCAGGACCCTTGATAGCCTTGACTAAGATGTATGCCAGATTCATGTGGACAGAGGACTGTCAGTGAGTCTTTGATACCCTCAAGGACCAGATGACAGCAGTACCCTTGCTGACTTACCCAGACCTGAGCAAGCTGATGGTGCTTTATACAGATGCCAGCAACAAATGTATTGGCGCGGTACTTACCCAGCCTTGTCCTGATAAGGATGGACCAGTGCCAGGTATAACTGAGGAAGTGCCTATATTTTTTTCGTCCCACAGACTATCACAGACCCAGAGATGACTAGTGATAGAAAAGGAAGCGTTTGCCATTTTATATGCAGTACAAAAATTAAATTATTACTTAAGTGGGGCTGTGTTTACCATTAAAACCGACCATAAACCCCTCAAACATTTATTAGAGGCAGAGTGGACAAATAAAAAGATTCAGCAGTGGGCTTTTAAACTTAGTGGCTATCAGTGTAGAATAGAGCATCTATCTGGAAAGGATAATACCTGTGCAGATGTTATCAAGAATTCCAGAAAGATTAGAGTTCGATATCTGTCTATATTTCTGAGATGAGGTATTGTGTACATTATTCGGACTATTGTCCTCATCTTTGTTGCCATATTTATTATGTTTCAGCCGTTGTACACTCTGGCCTTCTTCAGGTGGTTGGAATGTCGAACTGAACCCTTTATTTCGCTCACTGGGGTAGACTGTTCTAGTTCCACGTGCCATGTTTAATGGATGTCAGTTATCAAGGACAGTGGATAAAGGCGTTGGTTAGATCCAGTGACAGGACCCAAAGAGTGTGAGTTCAATACCCGGTTAAGGCAGTAGAGAACTTTCAGAGGGAAATTAACAGGAGATAACTGACATTCATTAAACATGGCAGATTGCAGTGTTGAAATTCATGAGTCATTGATTTGAAATAGATTCCTTGTGTCAATTCTCACAACAGAGAAGGTACCAGTACTATTATTACCAACCAGATTACAGTCAGTTCACCATCATGGTTGAATGATATCTTTTCTGAATGTAATGAATGTTTTCATTTCTAATGTTAATATCTTATTTTCATTTATTTATGTATTTATAGATTTTTTTTTCTTAATCCTCTGCAATAGTCTAGATTCACTGAATAAAACTAACTTTCTTCAAAAAACTGCCTCTATTTCTCAGATACTCTGGATAGTTCACACTGTCAAACCTCTTTGGGGATAAGCTTATTATAAAAGTGAAATTATCAGTTCAAGTGGATCACACATTTTGATAAAAATGTACAATTTGTTAATAAACATCATGTGTGTCACCATCAAGCTAACCATGGAGGCTGCTTTTCACACAGACGGTTAAGATGAAGGGATGATATAAAGATATAAAAGAGTCTGAAGCAAAACAGGGTGGGAAATTATTCAGGAAACAGAAAAGATAAGAGACCCTTACCTCTGACATTTGTCAATCTCAAGGTCGTATCGGAACTTCAACTGCAGAGCCACCATTTCTGGGTTCAAACATCTACAGTCCCAAAATAGTAACTTTTAATTAGTTAACCAAAGCTGCTAAAATAAGGCTAGACTTTGCCTCCACAATAAAAAGAAAACAATATAGTATTTATAAACTCAAGCTGAATTAAATTTATATTGGAAATAATTTAGAGAATGAAATATCAGACTGCAGGTCCTTATTACAATGATTTAATTCACAATTGTCATTGAAAAAACAATTTATTTTAGTTTTATTTTTTTGTTACCATTTGTACTTTGTTTGTGACACTTGTGTTTAACTTGATCTTGTGTATCCTGTGATAGCTGTTCCATTTCTGCCAATAAAAACTTCCCTATTTCATTTTCATATGTCACTGATTTTATAGTAAAGAATATATCTTAAATAAATTTATGAAAAAAGAAATGAGACTATTTTTACTGTTTTAACAGTAAGATTTTAGAATTAAATATACTTCAAGCATTGGTGCCTTGTGATACAATCATGATTAGCAAGATAGTCCCATGAACTATTACAAGTTTAATGAATTTGATCTTGTGCCTTCTTAACCAACAATTGAAAAGTTCTGAAATGAGGAAAATGTTTATCAATCTAACGTTTCACTTTTATTCAAGTTTTGTCAGAGAATGAGATATGGAAAAAAAATAGATATTACAAATGCCACTCTAATTAAAAAAGAACAATTCTTTATGTCAGAAGTATTTTGAGGGATTATGAATAACTATATTACCAACTATAAACATGTCAAAAACATTACATCACCAAACTTTATTGAATCCATTCTTAAAGCATCTAACATATGTTTATCTAAAACAAACAGTATGTACATAAAAATGTACCCAAATCAATATGAAAAACCTCAAAGCATAATGTCTACTAGACATACTTTCATGCTTATAAATATACATTATTATCTGAATCCCATATAGACAAATTAGAACTCTTATATACTTACATACATAAAGTAATATTTATGGTTTTTCAGTTAGGCTTGGAATCTGTTAATTTCTTGGAAATTTGAAGGGACACATCATCTCTCCTTGAATTCGGAATGCCACAAATTATACTAACATTAGTTTAAAAAGTCGAATGCATGTAAAATCTAATTAACCAATGAAAATCAAACAAAATAAAAACAAAAAAGGTAAAAATATCAGAAATTCTTTCTTCTTTTTCTCCATATCACATTCTCCGATGAAGCTATAATAAAAGTGAAACATTTTAGATTATTTGTTCTTTATCTTATATGTGTGTGTGTATATACAAGATAAAATTAATGTGGAGAAACTTGTCACTTAACCAAGTGGCGTTATTTTAGTAATATCATCTTCAAAGTTTGCAAAGCACATTGTTGTAAGACCTTCACTCTTCAAGGTTATTGGCTTCTCAGTATTGACCAAAATCCTCCCCACAAGGCTGGTTTTTGACAACGGGGATTTCTGAGCATGTACGCTTGGGCAAAAATTGCCCATAGACTCAGCATTCACGGGGGTCGAGTGGCTGTCTACCTCTCCAGATGAGACTCTGCCTATAGGCATAGCCTAGTCTGTGTTCATCACCACCTGAAAGCAGAGTATTGGCAAACTCAAAGGTTTGCCGAACTCCAAGGCTATTGGCTTCTCTGCTACTTCTCAACTTTTTCGTATTTAAGTATAGTTTGGTGTAATATCATTGTGTGAGTAAGTGATTTTTTTTTTCACTTTATAAGTGTTGTATTATCTGTTTTTATCTTTAGATTTTTTGCTGTTTCTTAAGTGGTGTAAGAGTTCTTGGTGATTGTTTGCTTTGTGCTGACCTCTTTTGACTGTGTTTATGTATAGCTCACATAATTGTTTTATGTAGGATTGACCTCTTTTTACCAGACTAAAGTGATGTTTATATTGATTACACATGCACATTAAGAAGAGAGGATGGTGAAATTTTTAATTTAAAATAATTTTTTTTTTTAAATGTATGTTTTGGGTCTAGTTGATTTGATTTAGTTTTTTTCTTTAAATAAATATCTCCCATTATAATAGAAGATCTGCCAAGGTAGGTGAAATGTTATAAGAACGTACATTTATAAGAACTGTGGATGATCTTGATTTACAAATATATTTTTACCTTAATAAATTTCTCTTTTAATTAAAGTATTTTTTTTTTTAAATAAAAATTATGGTCATACTCATTATAGTAAGCAACTAATGCATTGAATGTATTGTTTTATAAAAGATCCCTTTTGTGTTCATATAATCTTTTATTTAAATTCCTTGAGGTTTCTCTTATGCATTTCTTGTGTCAATTATTACTGGTGATAGTGTAAATTCTTCCTTCAAGTTTTACTTTCTTAAGTCTTTTATTGTTTTGGAAGTAGTTATAACAAATGTTATGTTAAGCTTAGATATATTCCTTTCAATTGTAGTTGTGCACCAAGGCAGATATGGCAGTAATACACTTCACATGACACTCAAATCACACCTGCATCTTTGTCAGGTAAAATGTACAAGTAAATAGTACAAACACAAATGTATGCGGCTATTGGACTGAATGAACCCAATGTGACATAGAAATTGATAAAGAGACAGAAATGTACAAACCTTCCCCCAAAGTAGTGAGGTAGGCTGACTTCATAGGCCGCCAGTTTCCAAATAATCCAGCGATAATGGTTAAACAGCCACTGAGGAGTGATGAGCTTAGGGTCAACCCCTCCAATTGTCTGGAAGGCTCTGTACGAAGAATTTAAAAAAATGTTTCAATAAATTTATATATAAATTTATTGTTTCTAGGTAGGAAAGAAAAATATTAATATGAAAGAATAATTGAAAATGTCATTTTTTTTTTTTATTCAAAAAACTTCCTGTAATTTCCAATTAACATCTACTTTATATTCTCTCTTTTTGAACATGTACTGTGTACATTTGTTTCATTCTGGATTTGTCAGGGAGCATTCTGATGAAGACAAGTGTATGGGCTAAAGTCAGCTCAAACTATTGTCCTACCCAAAACAATGGTCTTTATGCTAAAATACAGAGACTTTTAGAACAAAGGTTTTTCAAGAAAAAGTGTGAGAAATATGGAAGAAATACAGTTATTTCTAGAAACATTCATACCAGATGAAAAGAATTCTTAAAAAGAATTCACACATGCACACAGAAATATTAAATAGCTGGCTGCTCATTTTCAAGTACATCCATCTGTTAGGGTGGCTAGCTCATCCCTGTTGCAGATGGCCACTCAGACACATCTGTTTTCTTAACATACACAGAGACCAATCTGGGAGATAGCACATAATTTTGCATGATCAATTGAAAAAGTACACCCAAACCATCGGTCACAATAACTTGTGATTACATGCTAACACAATTGTTGATGGCTTCTGAATAGTATTACCTACCAAATTTCATTCACAAGGCTTGGCTAAATCTGTGGTATGTGCCATAAGATAGGATTGTCTTTCTAGATCAATATTATCAAGAAGTCACTTCCCTGATAAATTGATCATGGTAAGATTCAAACCTTGGTTTTACAGTTGGAATATTAATGTACTAATCATCTCACTATGCATGTGTATAAGTGAATTCATTTTTATAAAATGTTAATACAAAATTCTGAGCTTAAAATCCAAATAGAAACACAAGCACACTCAATAGATTAGTACTATCTGAATAAATATAAAGGCCAAAATTTCCTATGGGCACAAGAGAATGAATGGCTTCCTTAGAAAGAAAAAATACTAAATAAAAAAAATGAAACCAAACCAGAAACCAAGGTATCAAGAAAAAAAATCCCAAAAAACCTGAAATCAATACTGAAACAAAAATTTTCAAACCGCCCAACTCTTATATATATATCTTTTAAATTCCAGTTGAATCCATTACATTCTAATACACTTGGAAAAGGTATGAATCCACTTCTTCTTCCAGCTCTGGATAAATGGCAGGACAGACTGGGATGGCAACAGGTCTACCGCAGAGAGAAACGGCAACCTACTGCGGGAAAAAATCTGCTCCGTCAGTCATGTATTGAAAGATACATGATCACCTAAGTATGTATCATGCATGGCACATAACTGACTGATATATATATATATATATATATATATATATATATATATATATATATATATATATATATGTGTGTGTGTGTGTGTGTGTGCCCGTCCAGTACTCAGTAGAAAGTGCCCAATATCAATGACAGAGCTAACACAAGAAAATCCCCCCCACCACCACTAAACATAATCAAACACAAAGAAGCATAAACAGATCCATACAAAATCATTTTAAAAAAATAAACCACTTTTTTCTGATGATCGCAAAAGCGTGAAACCCAGTGACACAAACTAATATCCATACAACTGAATATATATATATATATATATATATATATATATAATGTTAACTTTTATATTTACACACACTATCTCTGAAACTGAGCACTTTATTCCATAAATATAGCACACCTTAAGAGTATATATATATATATATATATATATATATATATATATATCTCTTTCATATAATACTCTACATATTTGTGCAAAAGTAAAGAATACTTTCTGGGTGACATTTTTTTCCGACCCAAATGTTGTTGGGCAACGGGCACATGTCTCTGGCATATTTTCTCATGCTGAATCTGAAAATAACTCTTTTTTTTCCCCACATCACATCACATTTTCTCAATAGAGATAATTTCTATTTTGCTTAATAGGCCAAAATGCCTAATTCCCAGGGACATGCCATGGCTTAAATATGCGAGCGACATAGTTGAAACATTTCATTTCATGGAAAATTATTCAAATAACTTTCAAAATGAATTTTAAGCTATTTCAGTTCAGATAAGCTGACTGGAAAATGATTAGTTTGTGTCACTGGGTTTCACGCTTTTGCGGTCATCAGAAAAAGTGGTTTATTTTTAAAAATGATTTTGTATGGATCTGTTCTGGAAAAGTGCCTAGTTGGCTATACTTATCTGGTGTTTGGCAGCTATTTTAAGCGCTAATGAAGAAAATTCTAATCTTGCTAGTCTCAAATACACTTGCCTAACAACCCTCATTTATCAATGTTCCTATGCATGCTATACAAATAGTGCATGACAATACCAGACCTCGGTAAATTCAAGTGATATGATAAAATCTTATGACAGTTTTAGACTTAATGTGAAAACTACTAATAAAAACTAAAATCGCTTTTCTTGAATGACTTCTACAGAGCTATGAAGTAGAGAGGAAAACACAAATCACAAAGTTTTAACAAGCTAAGAACACTGAGCACACAAGAACATTTTCCAGTGAGATATCTCAACTTTTCCGATGGGATGTTAACATGATGGCGAATTTCTGCTGGAGCATCAAGAGAGATCAACCTTTTCAAAAGCACCATAGTTTCCAAGAAGAGAAGATTTATGCCTTTGGATGGACAAAAATGAATGTATTTTTCATTCCTTTGTATCTTCTTTGTCAGTTTTGATTAAAAAATTGATGACACGTTTTTCTTTAATTTTTGTGTGAGATTTTTCTGAAAACTTTTTTTCTGAACTGAAAATGCATTCTTTAAGTTATTGAGATACTTTTTCTTTTATGATGTTATTCTAACCTGAAAATGTTTAAGGTTGGTTCTACTCGGCCCTGGCATATCACTGTTAAATAGGTATTTTGGCCTATTTTAAGAAAAATAGAAATTATCTATACTGAGAAAACGTGATGTTATGGGAGAAAATGGACTTGATTTTCAGATTCAGCATAAAAAAATATCTCAGAAACATGTGCCCATTGCCCAACAACTTTTGGGTTGAAAAAAATGTTGACTGGTGTAATCGCTGGGATATAACATCTAACAGTTATGTGATTCAAAATTAACATCATATTAGTAGAATCCAAACTTCCTAAAAAAAATATTAATTCAACTTTTAAATAAACTCATGTTAATTCAGATGTCATATTTGTCAGTGAGGATCCTTTGTGTTTTTAGATAAAATTGCAGATGATTTTCATATGTGGTTTAAAGAAAATTACTGTTTTCTTCCTCAAATTAGTGTACTGACTTTTACATCAGTAAATTCAGCAATTGAAAAGGTCAGAATGATTTTTTTTCAAAGTTTAAGGTTTCCAGTACAAAGGTTATACTCTCAAATTAAAAAAAAATTATAGAAATGTCACTTACATTTATAAAGCTATTGAATGAGATTAATAAAATTTATCAGTGTAATGAAATGATCAAATAATTTTAAGTACCATTTTATTTTGATAAAGACAAAAAATGAGTCACAGTTTTGCAATAAATCCTGTTCTTAGTAGGAGTGGTAAGGAACTTTTATGTTCACAAAGAGATTTTAATTTTTAGGTTAAAATGATCTAATTTCTGTATATTTTGAATAAACTGTACTGATGTGTCAACATGTAACTATGAATTGTCTGCTGTTAAAAAAAGGGGCAAGTGTCACACCAAAAGAATGTTATTTTTCAAATATAATGTCCACTAAAAAGATTCTTGCATTTTTTGTAAAGCACACTTAACAGAATACAGTAAAATGTAAAACTTTATATGTCCTGGGAAACTACACAAAAATCATACAACATTCACTTTATTTTGGCAGTCAGGAATAAGATCATCTCAAAACTTCAGCCACAATCAAGCTAGAAAGAGCAATTTTAATAAAAAAAGGACAATAATTTGCAGACAAAAACTCAAGATAAACAATACAGTTACATATATGTCTGAATTACTGGGATGAAAAATTCTTTCACACCTGAAACCAGTATATATATGAGGGTGGGGCTTTGTTGATTACATAAGTATTCATAGTTGAGATAAGAATGATATAAAAAAAAAAATCAACATCCTTTACATAGTATTCCAAGAAATGTCTCAAGAGAAATCTTTGCAAAACAGAAACTATGATGTGAAAATGGAATGAAAACAGTGATGGAACCTACTCTGAATACAACCTAAAAATTCAGGATGTGGAATTAGTAAATACTAAACACATCAAATACCTCTTTGTATGGATCAGTTAGAACAAGGGGATAAAGAAATTAAATATAGAATAGGCTATAATAGTTTCCCACAACACTGCAAATTGTTACAAAACCAAATCATTAGCCTAAAAACTTTAGCCATGTTCTTAAATAGCCTCATGATATCAAGACTTTCATATGCATGTCATGCATTGGAACAAACACATTCAGAAATATCTAAACTGTTAGATGCATACAACTGTTTTTTTCGGATCAATGATTAAAATTGACTTTGAGTGAACAAAGACTGTAGGTCTTAGTGAGGACCATCCTTCATCAAACTTTGTGGACTGGTACTACTGAATCAGAAAGAACTCCCAATTACAAAAGTATAAACTCCTCCTATGAACAATGACCAAAATCTGGATTGTATTTTTCAAAATAATTCTTTTTTTAAATACATGTTTAGTGCTACAGGGAATCTGTTCTTTATATAAAAAAATCATATTTTATGATCTGTGTAAGGGTTTTCTTTTTAAAGAGGGAAAACTAAATCACCTGAAGAATTCTTCCTTGCCTGCTGTAGATTTACTGTCTGGAACAAGAATGGCACCATCTCCAACAATAATTCTGTGAAGACAGTTGACATTGTAGAAAGTAGACAACTGAAATCTAAAGTTAGCAGCATTTGTAGAGGTGACTGCCAAAGTGTTTGGATGAATGCCATAGGCAATGAGCTGTAAACAGAATACAAAATGTCTTTTTTTATAAAAAATGATTACAGCAAAGAAAAGAAAGTGGCAAAAATAAATATTGAACATTGGATTTATTAATAAAACATGGACAAATTTTTAAAGAAATACTACTATATTTCATAAATTATAATTTTTTGTGTATTTCAAGTTATTGGCTTATAGATTTGTTAAGTTGAAATGAATTTATGATGAGAACACTGAGCAATTCTTAGCTTAAAATATGAGAAATTTTCACTACTTACAAAAATAAACAATGCAGACATAAAATTATGTAGCCAATATTAATGAAAATCTGTGCAATGCCTTCAGCTGATTAAGCTTAGCATTTTCTATTCAGCTAATATTGAAGAGATCTTTTTCTCAGGAGTCTATCTAAAAGTTTTTGTACAAATGAGTTTATTATAAGAGTGATGATAGAGAAACTCCTGAAAATCCTTTCAATAGCTTCACAATCTTTTAATCCACATAAATCTGAAAATTCACTACCAACCTGCTGCTGCATAGTGGGGCAGATTCCCTACCTTAGAATAGCAAGCCCAAAATAGACAAATACCTGTTTTAAGTTACAAAAGAGTGGAAAAGTGTGCTTTATATTCTATAAAATATGGTGTCTTATAAGTGTGGAAAGGAAATTGGATTATGCTGAAAAAAGGAGTAGGCATATCATACATTATTTCTAAGCTAGATTTATACATGTGGTCAACTTATATATGAGTATACAATATAAAACAAAATTTCTGAAAAAATTAAATTTCAAGAATTATGTGAATAAATTTACAAACCTGTTCTGGCAGGAATGAAGGCATTTTGATGCCTTCAAGTAAGTAAGAAAATTTTATCTGTTTTCTTGATGCCTTTCGGCAAGTAAGAATGCCATTTTGAGGCAAAATCCTTTTCCTCTTGTTTTGTAGAATGATCATATCTTGTTCAAGAAGACTTTCCTCTAAATGAGATTCTGTATTGCACAATTTCTCTGCAGATTCTATAAGCAATGGCTCTAACCTGTTAGATTCAGGATTCTTGCCTCTATTTTCTTGGTTCTTTGATGATTTCTCTTTGTAAGAACAGTTATCTCCTGAAGAAACAGGATGAGGTACATTCCGGGATAAGTCTTGCATTTTTTCCTGATCTGTCAATTGGAATTCGCCAAGAGACATTTCTTTAATTTCAGGAATTGAGCATTTGTCACTTATGGTATCAGCATCAGGCACTAATTCTACTTTGTTTTTTACAAGAGAAGGTACTTTTTCATTGGAAATTTCTTTATTAAGTTGTTTGCAATTTGAAACTTTTGGAAATAAAGCAGAAGACTTCTCAATAGATGAATTTGTGGTAGAATTGTCTGAATTGGATGCGGTATGACAACAGGGAGAATTAGTTGAGCATGGAAAATTCCTGGATATTTGGCCTTCTTTGCAAGATTCTTTATGCTTCAATCTATCACTTTGCACTTTCACAATATTTACATTCCTACAAGACTCAAAAGATATTACATTTGAATTTAGATACTTTTGGCATTCCTTTTGTGGAGTATTTGGCAAAGTTCTATAACCTCTGAATACAGGACGGCTAATATTTGGGAAAACTTTGACTATTTCTTGAACTTCAGATATTACTGGAGTTTTACAATATGGTGTCTTAAAGTCAACCTTTTTTGAGGTGGCATCTTGCTTATTTTTCCCAACTGTCTTTCCTTGAACACTGCAATGAAGAAGCAAAAATGTTTTGTTATTTAATTTCATGATTTAGCACTTCACATTTAAATTTCTTTAAATAAAGCAATAAATTTAATTTCAAGGAGGTATTATAAAGATTATGTAATCTAATTTTTTTCAAACATTCAATTACTTAGAAACATTTCAAAAAAATTCTAGACTAATACAATTCACAAGGAAGGACATATTGTTGATAGAATCTTTTCTTAACCTAACTTTGCTTCATTAGAAATGTGAACTTTTTAAAAATTATGAAAATTTTGTGTTGCCTCATCACACATGGCAGAATTTAATGTTAACTCTTGTGAAATCAATTTTTGCCTAATACACTTAACCTAGATGGCTTAATCAAGGAGTCATTAAGGAAGGAACTTATGAAAAGCTTACAAGAATTACTAGGACTCAACCAAAATACAAGCATAATTTCAAAATTAAATTCATTAGGTAATCTAGAACCAAGGTTATTTTATATAAAGTACTCACACGTAACTTCAGTGGCTCTCTTTAACAAAAAAAAACAAAAAAAAAAAACAATTCTACACTTTTTGTTTAATAGCAGCTTTCATTTTTACATAAAACTTTATAATTTCATAGCAAGGACTATATATATATATATATATATATATATATATATATATATACACACAGAGAGAGAGAGAGATAATATTAGTGGAAAATATACATACATATGCAAAATATATAAATACCCATACATGTATATTTTTAGAAAAAAAAAATTCCAAGAGAAGAATCCAGGTAGAACTCAATGTCTAGGACAGAGTAAGGATATAATAAAAAAGGCTTAAACACTAATATTCCATGGTCATAATTTATTCCATTGAATCGTAAATACAATCAATTCATCAGACCTACAAATTCAAAAAAAAAACAGAAAAAAAACCAACCCTGAAATAAAAACAGAATTTAGAGAGAGTGTAAGTATGAGGAGGAGGAGGAGATTAAACCTTAACAGAGAGAATTTTTAGGAGAGATGGGTGGAAGGGGGTTTAATTAAGAGAAAAAATGAATGTTGACGGATGTCTAATGCATAAGATACATTTTAGGTGATACACACACCATAGACAATCTAATCTTACTTATTATAAAACGCAGATTGTGTGTGTGTGTGTCTGTAACGTTTATATATTGGATCGGATTTCCTACATTTTTTCAACCATTTCAACAAAACATCACAGGACTACATAAAATTACCTTGTGGTGGTTCTAACAGCTGTAAAAATGGGAAAAATATAATTGTTTTGCACAAAATCAATTTGAAAACACGATTAAGAGACATCGAAAATGGAAGGGGAAACTCACATCGGGTTGTTTGTGTGTGTGTGTGTGTGTGTGGGGGGTTCCTTAAATATGGGAGCGGATTTCCTATATTTTCAGCTGATAAACAAAACTTCACTTTTTTTTTTGGCAGGTAGTGTTTCTTATTCTCTTGCACACTTTTTTCTTTTATTTTTAACATTCAGAATGCTTTAAAAATTCCGTTTACAAGACAATTATTTATAATAAAATTCTATTCAATTGGGAGACTGTAAGTGTAAGCGTTCTCAAAGCAAATTTGTCGCAGATTACTTTCACAACAACACAAAGAAAAATCACTAAGTACAGACTCGAGTATCGGGGCAGAAAGAAATGCTGGAAAACTCAATTCGCCGGTACTATCTTTTAAATCACAATCGTGTAAACAGTCAGGAAAATAACTCACACTCCAACAAACGCCAGAATAAAAATGCCTGAATTTTCCTTCCCCGAATCGAGAACACCAACTGCTTTTATCGGCAGAACCTATTTTTTTTCATTCATCGACAGCTGGGATAGGATGCTCTGTAATTTTGCAAATCAATATCCTCTTATAGCAACTCCTGCGACGGACTTGTTTCTTTTTCCGTCACAGAATACACGCGATGTGCTGTCGCTTGGGTTGATGAGGTAAGTCGGCGTTTTCTTCGCTATAAGATTTTTGCTGACTACTTTTTGGTATTCCTTCTTCGGCAGATCGCACACAAAACACAAACTTTTTTCCGAGGTATCTGATTATCTCTTTCACTACAGAGACTCATAACGATTGAAAACAATGTTTTTGTTTGAGTTTGGGTTTGACCAATTCATAATAAAAAAAAAAAAAAAAAAAACTAATTAAGACGTGTGTCTGTCAACCTTAAACAATAATCTAACGATCTCTACTGATTGTACGAATACAAACATCGGAATAAATTCTTTATCTTTAGGAAAGATAATGAAATCTAAAACATACACAAGTCCTAACTAAAAAATAATAACCGAACGGGAAACTACTTTAAATACACATGGTGTCCAATTTTTTACTGTATTCAATAAGTAAAAAATCATAAATTGTAAAAAGATTATTATTACAGAAAGGCTACTAAATGAATAAGATTTGTTAGATCATGATTAATAAACTCAAATAAAGTTAATATTTTTTTGTATTAGAAACAACGAGTGGAAAATATATTCAACTCAGAATTCTAATTATGAATCACCACAAGCAAAATAT